AGGCGCGGTGCATTTCGCTGTGGCCGTAACGTATCTGTGATTAATGACGGGGGAAAGAGGGGAAAATCTTTGCCCATCAAACCCGTTCTGATCCGCGAACCAATTCATCACGGGAGCGAACGAGACAATCGGTGATAGATCGCCGCACGACACAGTAATGAGACAGCTATTTCGGGCATGCATTAGCGATTAGAAAAGTCGATATGACTCTAATGGGTGCAGGCGATTGGTAGTAATGTAATATACCTATGACGATTTCTAATAATGACACCGAGGCAATTCCGCGTAATGGAACCAATGTTAACTAGTAAAATCTGATGGAACTGAATTTCTTTTAATAATAAATTGGTCCTTTATTTACCGAACCAGCTAATCGATAGTTATCTGTACCTATATGTTTAACTGTACGCAATAATTTACTATCACTAACTTATCGATTATTTCCCGATTTGACGAATAAAATGATTCGGTGCGAAACGAAGAACGAATCCTAAGTTGTTCTCTTTCTATCAAAATGAAATGAATTTGGAAGTGCCTGCGGAATTTACTACGAGGCAGTAAGTATAGCAAGCCTACCAACTAATAAGCAAGCAGACTTCTTAATTAGCCTGCATGTATATAACCACTCTCAACTCATATAAACTAGTCAATCTATGTCAACTTATATTTGATGACTCTTGATGATCAGTTGCCAAGGTATTGGCTTCGGCGCGTTGGTGGGTCATGGACTCGATTCCCACGCGGGACAACTATTTGTGTGACCCATTATAACCCCCCCCCCCCCCCCCAAGACAGTTGTTTCGCATCAGGGTGTTTGTCCGCGCGTAATTTATGTTTGTAAATCGTCCTTACAACACAGAATAATGTTATACTAAAGTAAGACCAATGTTTAAAAAAAAAAAAGATAAAACATATATATCGAAGCTTAAATAACCACCCCCCACCCCCATCACCCACACCATACAATGCCAAATTTGACAACAGATACAGTGGGCGTCATATTTTTCCAGGTAAAGTTCGCGTTTTGTCGAGCAATACAATAAAATCAAAGGTTAGCTTTCATGCAAAATTGAAATTAAACACAATAAGAGCATGTAGGCACCAAAATAACTGGGCGCTCGTCACACGATTTCGAGTATTTTATTTACCTCCGTACACGTTTTAATATATCGCATTGCATACCTATCGTTTTAATATATCGTAATGCATATATTGGCTCCTTTGTAAATTCTCTTGATTGTTTTTAATTTTTTATGTGCGAAAGGTTCCGTGTTTTGCTGCCATTCATATTTTAATGACGAAATTCATATTACTTATTGGTTCGGAAGTTTACTATTGTTAATAGCGCCTGAATTGCATCCGAGTTGGCCGTTGGGCTTACATAATAAATAAATAATTAAATTAATATTTTAGGACACATTTTTACACAACCTTCTCTAATCTCAAACTAAGCAACGATCCATCGATCTCAATTTACGAAAATAAGTACAAAAGTTTTTTCAAGATTAAATCTATCTAAAATCTTAAATTAATTAAATCTTTTGTAAATAAATACATATTAGTCATATATAGAACAGTCTCTGTGCACTAGAAAAACACCATGTGCCACCAGTAGTGGGGACCCACTATTTCATTCGGGTACATTAAGTAGGTATGAGAATAGATATAAAAAATTTTTTTTCTACAACAATATCAAACTTAAGGCGCCGCAGTGGGTAACCACCGGCGTAACGGACCGTGCACAAGGACCTCTACGGTGACTAGGTAACGTAATTGCACCGATCGGAAGAGTGGTATTTTACTGCAGACTCCCTTTACCGCTTAATGGCTTAAGACGGCGCGAGACAAAAGGGCGCACGGGATCACAGATTAGCACCCCACCTCTCGAGTGCGTGCCCTCCCGACTGCTATCTAGTGTCCTCCAGAGGGTTAAACGCTTTCAAGGAGTGTCCTCTGCGAATCTGTATCGTTGTAGATTTTTAGTAAGCTGAAGCATTCACAATATAACCGCTCAATCCCTATCCTTACTTATTGTGCCATTATAGATGAAAACGTATTGTAACGGTTATGTTTGTATGTTTATAACAGGCGGTTATGTCCATTAACAAAATGCTTAGTTACACTACATAGCGATAATTTGCATCAAACTCTCTGCTATCGTTAAAAATGGATCAATCCAACTAATAAATCACTTCATCCCGCAAATTACAGTTGTCATTACGAGGCAGTAGACAAATTTCACAACTTCACAGTTGAATCTCGACAGTTTTTCCGTATATCACTAGAGCAGACTTCGGTGCGACAGATTGGTTATAACTGTGATATTTCGTGGGAGATTTGCGAAGACCTCTCTGATTATTACCAACCTTACTTGATATATAACTTCCTATTTTAACGTATCTCACAAATACGTCAATTGTATTTAAATTGTTTAATTTTTGTACAATTTAGGTAAGCGATATGAAGGTTATTTAAAGTCCTTATGACCACGCATATACAATATCCCTGGATGATAATAATAATATTAACTTCTCATATAGCGGTCGCTGTAATCAGTTATAAAAATATAAGGATTGTAGGGAAAAAAGCGATTCAATGCAAAAAAAATATATACTTATCACGATTATCCTGACGGGAAAACATCAAAAACATCAATGTATTATGGCCAATATATCAACATACGGTACATTCTAAATTCGCATTATGCTGGAAATGTAGTCTTTAAGCTGAAAGATTTGATTTGATTGATTTGATTTGATTTTCATTTAAACAAAACACATCCCTTACTTTAGGATAACACTATCCTGTGTTGTAAGGACATTTTACAAACATAAATTTATCAAACACCCAGATGCGAAACAACTATCTGTGGGTCGCACAAATAGTTGTCCCGTGTGGGAATCGAACCCACGACCCCCGACGCCGAAGCCAATACCTTGGCAACTGCGCCACGGAGTCAACAAGATCCTACCTAATTCAAGTATTTCTTCCATATTATATGGTATATCACACATAGCATATATTGCGGTGTCGGACATCCTGAACACGACGTTTATCTGACATCCTGCAATCTACGTTGAGGTGTTCGTAGCTCTATGTGTATTTCGCTCCGACTGCTAGGAGGGTTGAGTGTAATAGCTCATGAAATGTATGTAAGCAAGTCGCGGCTGGCTGGCGTTCCGGTGCTACCGACGATGAGTAAATACCCGCAGCCTCAGCCTCATTGTCGAAGACACTCGTAATCCCTTTTCGGTCCCGCCGAGAAATAGGCGGAAGTTTCTTGGCGAAAAAAATTTAAACACGCACGTATCTGGCGACTGTATTGTTCAAAGGGTACCCCTTCAATTGGGCCCGAGATTTCTTTCAACTCTTCAACTCCAGAAAAGTCCGTAAATCAAACGAGCTGGAGTCTACTAGAGGATAATAGCGTACGTAAAGGACGTTACAGCCCCTAGAAAATTGTTGAGGATTTAGACAAGATGGGTACGTTTAAAACATCCGTCGCGTGTCGATTCTGTGACGATTCGAACCCGAGATACGAGTACGATGCGATACTAGTATTCAAGCCGTAGAAGCTCAGGAAATCCTCATTTAATTATCTATCTATACTAATATATTTATAAATTATAAATTTGAAAATATGCAGATTACCCCAAGATGTGTTCGTTCATCGCTGATACGTGATAAGTCAGCACTTAAAGTTAACAACTACATTGGTGCCGGGATCAGGATTTGAACTCGGGTCCATAAACGGAACTTTAAATTAACTATATTCTAATTATTAAACCTTAGTAAAACGCTACCTAATACACGTACAGGATTCAGTAAAAGCGAGCGAGCGAAAACCGAGCTATCACTTTAGACAATTTAAAACCTCTATCTCATCGAATTGCTAAAAACTTCACGCTACTTAATACACGGACAGGATTAAACTCAAAGAGCCATATAGCACTAATGCAGCACTCACGGCATTAACGCTTCCGATTTTCACCGTACTCCATAAATTTTTAAATTACAGGCGCGGTGGGCCAGCGCAGTCTTTAGGGTAAGACTGAACCCAGCCATAGAACGGGTTTGACGGTGTCTAAACACTAAATTACTTCGACTTTGACTTTAATCGTGTATCCATGTGCTGCCGTGGGCTGTTTTAACTTTTCCACGGGGATTAATTAAGCCGATGATGCGCCATCGCTCTAAGCTCTCCGATAACTGGACGCCCGACAAATACACGCGTCCCTTTTCCCGCCAAGAAGCGTCACCATTGCCGCCATATTATTGATAATTACCAAGAAAACATCAAACACTCATACTGCTAAGTTGTAATTATCCCCCAAAGTAATTAAATATACTACGGAATTTTCCTTGTGTGTCTACCGTTGCTGTTAATAAAATATATTTGCCCGAATGACGGTAGTACGTATCGAAGAGAAACTATCCGACTACATTTGAATTGATTCCGTTATAAATATGAAATTGATAATGAAAAGGAAAATATTTTCTTTTTTTTAAATAGTACATTAAAACAAATTTATAAAAAATTGTACCAACGGGAAAATTGATGTACACAAATTATTTTTCCATAAAAGGAATTATGTCATAAAATCAGAACAATATGTACCTAGGTTTGGATCGTCTGTGGGTCTGTTTAAGAACTGGGGATTTATAAAAAATATCTCATGGAAACCTACTTACTAAAATATCCAACAGGGATATCACCAACCAGCATAAAACAGCAAAATAAATTAGTGACCTTTATACCTCGGCTTTACTATCGGTAATTTTAACGGCAATTAAGCAATAATAATTATTACCCGCAACTACTATTCTCTCAGTTAACTCGTTTCCCGTCTCTAACTGCAAGAATAAATATCAAATGTACAATACTCGGAGTTGTGTTAGCGTGTTGGTAACAACTTGAAATGAATTAACTGAATGTGCGACGTCAGCTATGTGTGGGTAATGTTAGAGATTCAAGACTTGAAATTCGGGGCAAAGATCAAATGACCTCCGATTGTGGACGTAGGTACTGTTCCTTGTATTTACGCGATTATACACTAAATGAAACTACGTTTACGGATTTATTGCGTATATTTTGCTGGCTTTGTCAGCCTCTGACAGTCTGTCTGGCAAACGGTCTTTCCCGTGATCATGAACGCTGTAAAGGGTTTGAAACGTCGGTAATTAAAAACAAAAATAAACGCGATATATCCGTAAGCGTAGCTTCATTTAGTTATTATGATGATAATTCTGATCATTAAGAAGATCGTTCTGGTCAATTCAGAGAGTTTAGCCATCATTTTGTCACCTCAAATGACATATGAAAAGCCATTTGACAGCTGATTAGTTGACATCTACGATCATCAGCGTTTCAGAAACCGGGCGTTAGAGTCTCAGAGCAAGAAGTTTGTTCAAACACACTTAATGTTCCAGTTTTGATATTCGAAACGTGTGCACGGAACAGCGGGTATGAATTAGCAATAAGTTAACTAGCCAACCCATATTCCTGCAGCCCTGGTAGGGCGCGGAGGATTCAACTTGTATCATCATTGATAAGAGAGCCTGCCCTTATTTCGCATTCGTAATAATTGTTAATAATAGTCCTTCCAAATGAGTAAGTGCGACATAACTGAGTGATAAAGCTCAGTAATGTAATATCATTATTTTTATTATTAATTAGGACTTTACAGTTTCTCTCGTGTACTACCATTAAGAGACTAATGAAATAAACAATATGACATGCTAGTTCTCCACACTTATTTTTTCTATTGCACTCCCCTCAATATCGACTTTATTATAAAAAGCACAAGTCTCCTTTTCTAAACTTTAACATTAATCGTCATTATTATCTTATCGGGCCAATTTAAAAAAAAGAGAACATAAACATTTATTACAAATTTAATACAATATCAGTTGCAGAAGTACATAGGTCGTTAGTGTCATGGGCGTCCGATACAATTATCTGTAAATATTGCATTAAAATAAACATAAAAATTGAAGACGATAAGTCGGTAGCAGATAATAAAAAAAATTGGTTTCATTAAATTATGAGTTATTTAATTTTGTATCGTGTTTCTTCTTTATATTACTTTCGCTGAAATTAAATAAATATTAAACCGATGCTTTAGAGCGGGTCGGCGGATTTACAGCTTGTTATGTTAATGGCGAAATCAGCGAAAAACACGTGCTTTTGCGACAGGTCACTTAGCGATAATAAACAATAAAACGCAACGTTGCGGTCGCGTGGTGCATAAATAAATATATATTCACATCGTAATGGCAAGTCCGTGTTCCGTTGGCGCGGTGCGCGGATTTGGGGCATTGTTATTCGGACGCGGAGGGTCCAGGGTCGACGAATTTGACCGCGAACGCGCCTTTGCAAGTCAGATCGCGACGCCCGCCTCCGGTGGAAGCCCGCCGCGCTGAGCAAACAGTGGAAATAGTACCGGGCCGAATCAGGCTCATTGGGAAAACAATCCGCGCTTCGAAGCTAGAACATAAAAGTGTCATCGACCGTTTTCGGACAGCGAGTGTTGGATCGTCATTTTGCAACTAACGCCCGGTTTCTGGAACACTGGTCATCGTAGAAGAGAGAAGTCAACATATCAGCCGTCAAATGGCTTTTCAGATGTTATTTGAAGATTCCAAAAGGATTGTTAAACTCTCTGATCAGAACGATCATCTTAATGATCGGAATGATCAATTAAATGAGTTTAGTAATAATCCTTTTGGCAACTGTAATAACATTTTAAAATCCATTTGACAGCCGATTAGTTGACTTCTACGATGATCAGTCAGTGTTTCAGAAAGCGGGCGTATAAAATTATTAGATTATAGACGTATAATTAATTCACGAGACGGCCCCTCGATCGAGAAAAAGTTAAGTCGCAAAAGGCACGAACTTAAACTGCCTTCCCCATTATCTTATCGAGCAATTCTTGTATATATATATATATATATATATATATATATATATATATATATATATATATATAATCGGAATCTCGGAAACGGCTCCAGCAATTTTCATGAAATTTGGTATGTGCGTAGATTCGGGGGCGAAAAATCGATCTAGCTAGGTTTCATTTTTAGAAAAAGACCTTTTATCCCTGTTTTCATGGAATGAAAAATATCATTCGAATATGGCGGTAAATTTCGCCGCAAAAGTAAATGTTATAACAGCTCGGTCGTTAATTGGGCGGCCCCAAAACAAACGGCCGTGGTTCGTGTCACGATCATTACACACTCTTTTTTTTTTACTTTTTTTTCGATTCCACATCATTGCTTTCTCTATTTTTTATTTTTTGTTGATCCAGATGATTTTGTTATTTTTTTTTCCTTTTTTTTTTAATGTTGTTTCTTTTGTGAAAAACATCACTTCATATTTTCATATTATTAGGTCGGTAAGATCGAAAAATATTATGCATATTTCATTACTCAGTAATTTGTATCTGAATGTAATTTCCAAAATACACGATTTCCAAAAAAAAAACATCCTCCAGGTACTCATACTTTAAGTGTTAAATGCGACATTCAACTAAAGGTTAAACGAAGGCGGCGTTCAAAAGCAAACACTTCGACGGCGGCGCGACGCGGTCGGCTGTCGACGTGGGCCGTGCGCTGACCAGACGCAGATCCATCAATGTGTCCGCCTCGGCGGTCAAGCGGCTAAGAGGGGTTCCTTGTCAACGGCGCCATCCGCCCGCGGAGGCGCTCAGACACTATTGAGATTGATGTTGGCGGCGCGGCGCCCCCGGAATACTAAGAGGGGTGCCCTCGTTGCCCAATTAGCCCCGCTGGGGGGCGTTTCGTCCCGCTTCCACGGTGCCCGCCGCCGTCCACGCCGCATACGAAATCGCCGCAATATTTCTCGCGTAAGCCCCCAAGATCAAAGTATCGCACCGCCAACTTGGACCGTCTAGCGTCCTCGCGGGCCATTATTCCCTAAGTGGATTTCGTGTTTTTCGCCGTCCCGCTATTGCTGCGATATTCGGGTTAAACTCGAGCTTGCGAAAGTTCCAGTGGTGGATATTTTAAGCCGCCTCACGACGTCTGGCTTGTCACGCTTAACTGAATGACAGAACAAAATCCTTTGCGATATGAATGAGGCCGTTACAATTTGAAGCTAACTTACGTTTTATAAATATTTATATAGACACGGTGTCCTGTACACACTTAAATCGGACAAGTAATAAATAAAAATAAATTGTAGCGGACCTAATTGTGAATCTAAACATTCTCAAATCGAGCTGATGTGACACAAAAAATGCCATTAAAATAGGCCTTAGGCTGTTTAGGAGGAGTTCAGTGACATGCACATGCACGTATATACGCGTGTACATATATATATAATAAATATATAAACTTTATACGTATTTTCATAAAGCACTTTCGTTCAAACAAGGTACAATACGAAGGCTCTCGACCATACACACAAAACGATGTCTTATCACACTCGAGTTAAGTGTCCAAAAGTCTGACGAATTTCATACGTATTGCGGTCTTGATTTCGCGGCCGACTTGCACTTGCTGATATAGGCGTTCGGAGCTTTCTTATTTTTACAACGGCTAAAGGCGGCTTTTCGGTGAAACGTATCCGTCCGGAGCTTAATTGGACACTATTGAACACTGCCGTCATTCTTGTTAATTGACATTAAAAAAGTTTTCGTTTGACTTTAGTCAAGTATTTTATATTACGATACATCGTCAGGCCAGCAAACTTTACAGTACTGTGGCATCGGGAGTAATTAGGATACATTAAGTGAGTCAGGACTATATTGGGAGCGACCTAGCGTCTTGATACAAGCTGCGTATATGCCTGTCAATATGAAGGTGCTGGGCATTTGAAATGTGTCGACATTTTGTAACAGTTGCGAAGAAAAAATTTTCAGTCTTATGTATGAAGTTCGGAAAATATAATTGAATGATATAAATGTGGTTAATCGATAGTTAATTTACTATTATGTTAGTACGAAGACGCTCAATACTGTTACACGATAATGGTCAACAGTACACCAGTCTTCATCAGTTCTCAACTTACAAACGTAATCATTTTGCTGAACCCGCATGCCCGACATTTCAAACGACGTGGAGTTATGACATACTAGCGACCCGCCCCGGCTGCGCACTGATGCATTGCTGAATGTTTTTCTTCGACATCGCATTAGAAACCTCTAAAATTATCAGTGTTTCTCTACCATATTACGCATGAATTATACACATAAACCTTCCTGTTGAATCACACTGTCTGTTAAAAAAACCGCATCATGATCCGTTGCGTAGTTTTAAAGATCTAAGCATACATAGAGACAGACAGAGTAGAACATGTTGCACAATAAACTACGAATTTAGTTCCGAAAATTTGGAGACAAACGATATACTCGTAATTCGGTTCCAATGCGTCGTTAACGCGGGGGTTGTCGTTTCGTCAAACCGGCTAATTAGCATAGCTCTTAAGGGCGTCACCGGGTCGCGTTTGTACGAGTAGTTAGACATAAAAACGCGCTTCCGCTAATTAGGTATATTTATACGCCATTATAGGCTTCGATGTTGGGGGTCGTGGGTTCGATTCCCACACGGGACCGCCATTTGTGTGTTGAACAACTATTTGTGTGATCCACCGACAGTTGTTTCGCATCTGGGTGTTTGTCCGCGTGGAATTTATGTTTGTAAAACTTCCTTACACAGGATAATGTTACCCTAAATAAGAGCAATGTTTAAAAAAAAATTGTCAATTTATTTATTTATTTATAGGCACTAGTATTGAGTATTAATCGCAAATATATAATACACGTTGCGGTTTCAGCGATACCCGCGAACGGTTAACGCTATACAACGATATGCGTTTACTCTACCTACCCTGTTGAGTGCGCGTACATTGTTCTACGGCCAGCCGAGCGATTACCGTAAAGCCCGCTCTCAGAAAGCGCCAATTAAATTAATCGCGTTGCCAAAGGATTGATATGTTTATAGACGATATTAAAAGGAGCGGGGAAATTTTCATAATTTCCCGTAATAAGGTTCGCAAACTTTGTGTCGCGTTGTTGCGTTGCTCTTAATTAACATGGCTTTTAGAGCAAGCTGTGTCTGATGGATTGTTCGTAACAGAAGGTGGTATCTAGAAGACAGCCAATCGATATAGACAGAAGAAACTACTGTGTGGGCCCAATTGCATTATTCAGCATGTTATCAAAGAATATAAAAATTGACACCAAAATCGTTATTACATTAAGAGAGTATTAATTTCTGTCCCACTTTATATCGTTACTCGAAAATCACACTACTGTGCAATGAGCGGTGGGCACACGCTAAGAGGCAATTAATCATATATTGGGCCTTTAATTTTCCATCGATCAACAGCCTTACGAGGAAAGACCACTTAATTCTTAAATAAACACTAATGTTCGCTTGATGTCATCATAACTTTTACAAAGTAATAGCACAACTATTTAATAATTTCAAACCCCGACAAAACCGTCTCTCAAAGTTTTCTTTCTCCAAATGATAATCGGACAAAGGATGTTTATAACAAAATAAGAGAGCCGGAACACATGAATTTGTCTTTGTAAGTCGCGACCATCACCTTAGTACTGACTCCAATTCTATATGAAGCAACAGTCGCATCACAGTTGATTCACGACCGAATATAAATAACTATGCAGGTGATTGTCCGAGCCATTTCGCGATCCTGCCACCCTGGTCGCATATAAAGCTTCTGCAACCACGTCAGGTTCTCGAGTGAGCGTCAACGAACCGGAAGTAGCCATGGAAGGCCTCCCTCTAGGTGGACCGACGACATCATAAGAGTCGCGGGCATCCGGTGGATGCAAAAGGCAAAGTTTCGTTCGTTGTGGCGTTCTAAGAGGGAGGCCTATGTTCAACAGTGGACGTCTTGTTTGCGACGATGATGATGTCGTCCGGAGGCAAGCTAGATCGAGTCAGCGCTGAATCGGCGTTTTCATAACCGAAACACGGATTTGTTCCAAGGCCCTCGCTAAAAGCGGGCATCGTTGGCGGATCCGAAAGCGGCACCGTGCGGGTTCCCGTCGCCGCACGTCATTAGTCTAACTCATAACATTGGCAATGGATACGTACCATGTTATACGTCACACGTGTACGTAAGTATCGGCTGCAGGCTGGTTGTTACTGTTTATCATGCGCCGTGATAGCTCTGTGTACGAGCGCTCGAATTTAAATCAATTTACTCGAGCTACTAGAATTCGAACCCCGGTGCCGACACTGATGAAATTGTTGAGTACTCAATTATCATGTGCTCATCGGTGAACGAAAACATCGTGAGGAAACAGCAGATTTTCTAAATTATAACAAAAATAATATATCGAATATATGTGAAGTCTGTCAATCCTCACTGGGGTTACGTGGTGGAATATGCCCTAATACCTTCAGCATAGGCCTAGTAGTGGGACATATATTTTTATGCGTTATCATGGTAATACAATGAAGCAATCTGTAATTACACGCATATAACTTAAAACTTGTAGAAAAAGTGCGAAAAGATTGTCGGCGCTGTGGGAATCGAACCCACGTCTTCGGCATTCGCGGCCTGACGCTTTAGCCACTAAGCTAAACGGCTGATTGCCACACCGACGAAAATCTTAACGTCTTTTATCTACATTGTTTTTTTAGCATTTGAAGCAATGCTTGGCGCATCTATTGTTATATCCTTCCAGCATACAAACAATTTCGAATATCGTTTTACAACGATAAGGCATATAACTTTATAAAATTATGACAATTAAACATTATGTGCGTATAAATTTTGTAAAGGCGCAAAATGTTATTTCTTTATATATACTAATTCTGAAGATTTAGACTTAATTTAACTGTTTGATGTGGTTGTGCTTATATTAATCTATTTAATTTCTGGGAAATTAATGACATGAACAAAAGATCTCGTATGTGTATGAAACTAAACTTTCACCCAACCCTTACTATGCATCGTTATCTTCGTCAAATGCACAAGTACACGAAAGTTGTAAACCATTTTTCATAACTAAAACTTTTTCCGACACCCCGACGAAAATCTCAATCTTCCGTGTACTTATTATTATATTTTTAAGCAATGTTTGCCATCTGGTGCGTTTCCTTTACACCAAAAACACCACTCTCTCATAATAGCCATATTCGTATTATGTTTCCGTCTCAAGTGGCGAGAAGAGCACTATAAATAAACATCCACTGTGGAAACTCGAAAATAATGTTGGCAATTATACGTAGAATTACTTCGCCAGTTTTTTAGCGGTTTGTCGTAAATTTTGCGTCATCAAACAAGACGTTTATCCGGACACTCTTAGCACGAGTCAAGGTTGACAGAGGCGTGACGTGTTACATCAAATTTAACACCTAATCATATAACAGACGAGCGGACACCTCTAGCAAGTAATTGCCATCCGTTTTATTCAAGCCAGTTTCTATAAGGTCATTAAAGGCGTTGGTTTTCGTATACGAAAGTGGATAAGGAATTATATAATAATTCCTCATTTTTTAGTAATTATCACGTGCTCAGTGAAGAAAAACATCGCGAGGAAACCCGCATGTTTTCGGAATAATAACAGAAAAGAACATTTCGAAGGTATGTGAAGTCGGCCAATCAGCAGTAGGGTCGCGTGGTGGACTAAGCTTTAGTACCCTTTGAACAGAGGAGGCACTTGCCCAGCTGTGAGACTTATATAGACTGTTACTTTACTTCTTACTTTGCTTTTTTTATTTATAATCAACGCTCAAGAAATACATTCAATAGATGAACTGTCGGAGAATTTCCGTTGCCGCCAGAATTAGAACCAGCGCTTTCTGGGTAAGGCCAGACGCTCCAGCCACCTGAACTAAACGCCCGATATGCCATCTGTGCCAAAGGAGAGGCGTATTCGATTACTAATGGCATCAAAAATCCCCAACTTAT